CCCTTTGACCCCGCTCAAACAGTTCCATTTCCTTCTTGTGCGAAGGATAGGCTTGGAAAGTTTCTATATTTAATTTTTTTTTGTAAACTGGTCTTTATTGCTGAGATGGGTTAGGGCTAATTTCAGCTGCCACCCTCTACGTCCACCATCACAGGCAGAGCACAGGCAGCGTGAACATGCAGAGGGGACCAAATATGGAAGGGAGGGCCAGGGAGAAAAGCACCTCGGAAACAAGCCCAAGCATGCCATTTAATTTGGTTAAAGTATCGAATTCCTGCATATTTCAAGGAAACTGACTGAGTTTCTTCTCAGCACCCACCCTGAGGAAAAGGCACCAAAATCAACTCCACCTAGGTGCACTCCCATTTAATTTGGTTAAAGTATCGAATTCCTGCATATTTCAAGGAAACTGACTGAGTTTCTTCTCAGCACCCACCCTGAGGAAAAGGCACCAAAATCAACTCCACCTAGGTGCACTCGCCTCCTCCATGCTGCGGCCGGCTGGATTAAGCAGGACACATGTGAAGGAAGGAAGCCTGTCCGACGCAGGATAAAGCCAGGGGTTAAGGAGTTGAACTCAGTTTCTCCTTGGTGCTGGGTATTTGGAAGAAGAGCTGTCAGGTTTTGCTTCTCTTGCCAAACCAGTGACACTGGAGGTATCGAGGCCAGGGCAGGGGATTGTGCTGCTCCATCAGCCTCAGAGGGAGCACGGCCAGACCCCGGCGAGGCTGCCCTTCGCTGCGGTGACAGCAGCGACGCCTGTGCCTGTCGCACTACGACAGCTGCGTTACTGACACACCAACCCACCAACCGCTCCTCCAGAGCTGCACACCTACAGCATGTTCCATCTGGGGGCTTTATGCTGGCGCCTCCCATAAGGAAACCATCCTCAGAAGCTCACTTTGCAATCTCCAAAAAATCCTCAAAAAAAGCCCTTTAAGAAATGTAAGTCTTCCTGAAAAGCGTTTCAGGCAAATCTCTTTAATGCAACTAATTAAATACCTCAGGAAACATTTGACTTTCCTCCTTAGTGGGTCCTTTACTGTAGCACCACAATTTTCTCACGATAATTATATAAGATATCTGACTTCTAATTAACATTGCAGCTTAATATTTTATTGATCATCAGCCCCAACGCCCAGGGCAATGCTATTTTAAAATCCATCCAACTCTTTAACAACAGTCAAGGGTGCCATGGAATTTATCTGTTCATAAGCAGCTGCTCTGGTAAAGCCGCACGTGTACTCGTAGCCAACACAGCTATCATCACGTCTGCTCCTGAATCCATCGTATTCAGACCATTAGGTAACACGGGGATAATGAGAGTAAGTCTCC